ACCGGCCTTCCCTGCAGCACCGAGGTCTTCATCTGCACCAGCCCCCTGTTGAAGTACGAGCACTGCGTGGGTGAGAAGGTGCGGCCGCCCCGGCGCCTCGAGACAAACTCCCCTTCCACGTCCTGGTTCTAAATAAACCAGCAGAAACCCAGGAGGTGGGTGGGGGGAGAGGGGAGCCGCCTCTATCAAAGGCCACAGACCCCACTCACACTGCTTCCCCACTGGCCTGAATTCAGGGGCCCACGAGGCCCCACTGACAGGCCTGTGCCCCCTCCACAGTTCTCCTGGGTGGACAAGTATCTGGGGCCCCAGTTTGTGGAGCGCATCATCCTGACGAGGGACAAGACGGTGGTCTTGGGGGACCTGCTCATCGATGACAAGGACACCATTCTAGGTTGGATCTGTTTTCCTCGGGAACCTCCAGGCATCTGGCCTGCGGGGACTGGGGAGAGGGCGCAAAAAACAACCAGTTCACCGATCGCGTGCTGCCTTTCTCCTGTGCCCGTCCCAGGCCAAGAGGAGACCCCAGCCTGGGAGCACATCTTGTTCACCTGCTGTCACAACCAGCACCTGGCGCTGCCCCCCGCAAAGAGGCGGCTGCTTTCTTGGAGCGACGACTGGAGGGAGATCATAGAGAGCAAGCGGGACACGGCGGCCGTGGCCCCGGGACGGTGGGCAGTGCTTCAAGGACGGGAAGACAGGCCGGCAGGGAAGCCCAGCAGAGCTAAGTGACAGGGCAGCCTCGTGCGGTGACCCAGCGCTGGGGAGCAGCGGGACACAGCAACCTCTACTCTCACAGGCCAGCCACCTGGCACCTCCCGAGATGGCGGCACGGAAACACGGTGGGCAGTCAGTCAGGAACCGGTTAATAAAACAGTCTGGCTCACTGCTCTGTTCAGGCTCTTTATTTGGGAAAGGAAAGGGCAGGAGCCCGAGGGCTGCCGTTGGCATGAAGGCTGAGGCCTCCCCATCTCCCCAGAGGCCCCAGGACCTGCCCACCTCCCTGCCGCCTGGGTGCCATTCCTCTCGCAGCTGCCCTCCCTCGGTCATGTGAGAGGTCAACCTTAAGGGAGTACAGATGACCAGGCCTCCCCGCCACTCCTGAACCCCAGCTTCCCATGGGTGCCCACACTCCTTCCCTGTGCTGACCAGCATACACTGGACGACAAGCCACACACTTTCGGTCAGTATCTGGTCCTGTCTCCCTGCGCACCACTCCACCTGCATCCCCAAAGCCTCCCGAGACGCGTTTCCAGGGGCAAGGGCTCCCCCTCACTGAACCCTGATGGCAGGGCTTTCAGGCGAGGACCATGGGGGGGAGGGGATAAGACGCAGCTCCAAGGGTTTGTGCCTGGTAGGGAGTGGGGGTGGAGGGCGCCCGGCGGGGATCCGTGACCTCAAAATCCTCGGGAGCGGGAACCCCGACCCCACAGGACACCTGCCAGTGGGGAGCCCGCCGCTGGGGCCGGATGGTCTTTGCTCCGTTTCCCGATCACCCGCTTCCTGTCTAACTTCAGAACACACAGTTCACCGCAGGATAGGGGCGCCCCCCCCCACGACTTTGAGGGCCCCGCTGGGGCTAGATCTGCGGAGGCAGAAGCCAGGATGGGAACACTGTATCTTTCAGGACAAAGTCGCCAGCGTGTATGAAAGCCCAGGCTTTTTCCTGGACTTGGAGCCCATCCCCGGAGCCTTGGAAGCCATGCATGAGATGCAC